GTCACTCAGGTTCTTACAGATCGGCAGAAATGTGTGTTTGAAAAAATGACCTTGAAAAGTTCAAATGTCTTTATTTGCCAAACCCTTATAATGATAATGTCGTAACATTGACATGATTATCACCTGTGCTTGGCCTCAGTCTCACGTGAGTATGGTCACTCAGGTACTTATAGTTCGGCAGGAATATGTGTTTGAAGAAATGAGCTTGAATATTTCAAAGTCCTTTATTCGCCAAACCCGCATTGTGATATTGTAACTTTGACAAGATGATCACATGTCATTGGCCGCAATCTGACTTGATTGTGGTCTCTCAGATTCTTACAGATCGGCAGTTATATGTGTTTGTAAATATGACCTTGAAAAATTCAAAGGCCCTTATTTGCCTAATCCTCAGAGTGATATTGTCGTAACTTTGACAAGCTGATAACCTGCCATTGGCCTCAATCTGATATGAGTTTGGGTACTTAATTTCTTACAGATCGGCAGTAACATGTGTTTGAAAAAGTGACCTTGAAAATTGCAAATCCCTTTCTTTGCCAAACTTTCAGTGTGATATTGTCGTAACTTTGACATGACGATGACCTGTCGTTGATCTCAAACCGACTTGAGTATGGTCTCTCAGATTCTTGCAGAACGGCAGACATCAACTAACCTAAAATACTATCAAAATCTAATAAAACTAAACCTAACCACACTCAAAATAACGTAAGGTACTAAACCTAACGTAACCTAAGCTAACCTAACCTAAACTAATGTGACCTAACCTACCCTAATCTAACTTAACCTATCCTAATCTATCTAATCTAACCTAGCCTAACCTAACCTAACATAATCTAACCTAACCTTATCCAAACTAACTAAACCTAACCGAAATCAGCTGAAAGTATATTTCGTGTCAATTTCATATCCCAGGCATAAACTTAATCTCTCCATGACCTTAAACTGACATATACGTACAGCCAATCATATTCCTACAGATCAGAAGAAATATGTGTTTGAAACGATACTTTCGAATGACCGAGAAATATGAAATCCCTCTATTTCGCAAATACTCCGTGTAATATTGTAGTAACTTTGAAATGATGATGAACTGTCCTTAGCCTCAATGCGACGTGAGTATGGTCACTCAGATTCTTACAAAGCGACAGAAATATGTGTGTGAACAATGACCTTGAAAACTTCAAAGGCGTTTATTTGCAAAACTATCAGAGTGATTTTGTCGTAACTTTGATATCATGATGACCTGTCCTTATCCTCAAACTGACCTGAGTATGGTCTCTCAGATTGTTGCAGATCGGTAGAAATATGTTTGAAAAAAATTCGTTTCGAATGATCATGATAATTTTGATGGCCTCTTACATTCTGGAAACATTTACATATTTAAAGTGCCTGGAAACAAAGTTATGAGGAAAATGTCTGCCGAATTTAATTTTAATGCGTGTTGATCCATAATGAACTCATCTTGTTAAGAAAAGAATTATTGAACGTACAAAGAAACATCCTGCATACCATACAAATAATGTAAATGTCATATTTCAGATATACAGTTTTTATGGAAATATTATCCATTATAGTTTACATTTATTGAAATATTCGGAAATATAATTAATCTGTAGGATTTGAGGTTTTCATGGCTGAGTCTGAAGATGGCAGTCTTCTAGACCTCTGAAACGTCGGTAAACTTCTAGCAGATTACACGGCGCAACAACCCAGAAGATAACCATTTTCAATATAATTAATATATTCAAATATTTGTCATATTTTTAAGAATATTTAACAAAATAATTCAAGATCGTTTTCAATGTAGTACCTGTGCTGTAAATACTAAATTTGTCTGCGGCACATGAATGTCAGAAATCATTGTTCACCTCCTCCCACGTAAAAATCAGCACAGGCTCTGTGTAGTTTTTCGTTGTTTTTATTCGAACCGATTTTCTGTTAAAACACCAATTACAGTTATTTATCTTCAATGAAGTGTGTTTCTTTGTCATTTTTGCCTCTGTTTATCTGCATGTCTAATTACACAAAGAGGTTAATGAAGCCGGCTTTTCGATTATATGCTCAGGTTTGTGTCTGGCCTTGTTTCACTGTACCTAATTACGTACAAGAACGCCTCTGGCGACGGAAGGACTCTCATTCGTGGCCTGCCTATCAGCACACACCAATTTAATTAGGACGAAGGGAATGTTTTAGTTTTCCGTTCTTCGTTAACAGGAGTAGGTTTACGAGGAGGGGTCAGCGATCCGATGTAGGTTTGAATGTGATGCGCGCTATGTAACTAGTGTGTGCATAACGTTTATCTCTCTAAAAGTAGAATTCATCATACTTGTATCACGGAATACGGAACGGATCGTTTTATAGCGTTATTTAACGACGCTTTTTCTGCTGTACTTGTTACATAGAGCGGAATGAAATCGTGAATATTAACTGTATCATGGCCTGTCTGAAAGTGCTGTACTTGAGCCCTTCTTCCAGAAACCGATGAAAATCACTCAGATTAGTATTGTAATCAACTGGAGACTCAGACCAGGTACCTTAGGAATGTCTCAGAATGCTAGGATCTGCCGTTATACCAACCAGCTCTAGACGATAGACAGACAATCAATGATTAAGATGTTTAAATATTATTCCTCTCTCTGAAGAGAGATTCGAACAGTGGTCCGTTACTGTGCTAGTAGGTTTATTTATAAATATTTGCTGGGAAAGGAAAAAAGAGAAAGAAGGAATAAATACACATGTAAGAATAAGAAATAAGAATTGAGGAAGAAAGTGACAGAGAAATAAATAGATAGAGAAAATAAGAGATGTAGGCTACAAATGGATGTTTATTACATTTTACGAAATTTGTAGACCTATGTAAATATTTACGTAGAGTAATTTATACATTTAATTTTCCATTTTAGTAAGACAAGATACAACCCGGAACATTGACACATTTCACATCTCAGACATCAGAAAATATTTAGTCGGCAGATTAATTAGTGTTTTGATAAGCCTTTCTGTTCAACGCCTGTAATGAACAATCAGTAGTTGGTGCTATTTCTCATGACTTCAGTTTTCGCAACTTCATCTCGAAGAAAGGTTATTTGTAAAACTGTGGAACGGAACAAACAGAGCAATACTTCAGACTGTGGCAGCCAGACACCTGAAAAAGACGTCTCGTTTATGCCAATGGGCCTTTAAATGGAAATCATATTTAAGATATATGCAGTTCAAAATTAATGCATTAGTTACTGGAAGTTAGGGAATTATTAAAGCTGAGAAATTGAGAGTCAAACCAGTTGTTAAAATGTAGCATCAAGAACGCTACTACCATCTCTAAATAATTTCTTAAAACATAAAGTAACCTTAGAGTTTGGAGCAGTCCAGTTGGTGGAAAATTAAGTTTGGTCCATGTGTTCTATAAACCATTTGTTGATCCTGGTTTCTGGGTTGTGAAGCCGGGTGATCGTATGATTACCAACGTTTCGTAAGAACCTGTTGCCTTCATGTTCAGGACCTGTACACGGCGTCACAACCTAGAAGACCATGATCGTCATTTTCACCGCCGTGATAACCTCAAAATTCAGATTCCACCCAAGTCACTTGTTTGTGAAAGTCTGTAAGAATTCAGACCATTTGCTACCCAAAAGCAACCTCAGAGAACCGGATAACGTTTCAAGATATGCTGTCTTCGCATAGAACCTAGGACCTTTCATGTACGTACTATGACTTGTTATCGCTACAATGCGACGTTCGGCGATTCTTTTAATATGTGTTTTGTGCACAAGATGCTCACTTAAGCTGTTTTTAAATTTGATTTTTTTTATTTTACGACACAGTTGGAATGAATTCTTTGATTTATACATATTCATGACTATGTTACATATATTAAAGTTACCATGGAGACAAATGTAAACAGCAATCCCTGCTCAGAACATGGATGTTTACTCTTTTAGCGGAGGGCAGAGCCCTCAAGTGGGAGTAAAGAAAGGTTAAAGGTGAAAATGGTGAGCTCTTTCATCAATTTGTTGATTAACTTCATGAACCATTATAGGGAACGTGGTGTATTGTCGGAGCGCAGTCTTCGCCAATATTTCTCCTGTCAAATGTTGGAACACCCACCGGTAGGAAACATTGATTGAAACCGAGTATAGTAAAAATACTTTGTACAGATCGCTCAGTTTTATCCGAACATGAAATTTGGGATTACACACTCTCACAAACTTGTCTCTTACTGCGAGATAGATTGTCTGTGATGGGGTGATACTTGAGAATATAAAATAGAATTTATTTGTGCCAACCTCAACGGCAACTAAATAAGTGAGGTAGTGATCAGGAGCTCAACTAACCAACTAACTCCCTGGTAGCAGAACCCACAGGTCCAACAACGACAGCACCAAAACCCACCGCAGAACACGATCCTAAGTCAACTCAATCCATTTGCCATCCACCTCCCTAAGTTCCATTTTAATATTATTCTCCCATCTCCTTCCTGATCTGCCCATGATTCGTACTGCATAAGGATTCCCAACCAAAATTCTGTATGCACAACTTGCATTCCTCCCTCGTGTGTTACATGTCCATCCCATCGGAGCCTCTTCGATGTCACTGTCCTCACGATGCAAGGCGACCTATACTATTCACGCAGCTCCTCGTTATGTAATATTCTGAATTTCCTACGCGTGTTCAGACTTTGTTTTTAAATACTTGTAATATACATTTTGTTTCACAACCATACAGGACAACAGGCAAAATTAATCCTGTTCTTCAGCGTTTTGGATTGCAAACGGGATGATAACAGAATTTGAATTGAATAAGAACAAGTGTTTCCTGGATGGATTCTGCTCTTAATTTTATCATGGAACTTATTTCTATTTGTTATTGTTGTTCCCAGCTACTTAAATGTTGAAACATTTTCAATTGATGCGTTACGTGGAAAAGATAATGTTTTGTTGTAAGATTTGAGGTTTTCACAGCGGTGAGTATGAAAATTTCTGTCTTCTGGGTTGTTGCGCTGATTACGGAGGCAGTATGACCTCTGAAACGTTGGTTAACATCGACCAGACTACACAGCGCAACAACCCAGAAGACAGAAATCCTCATACTCATCGCCCTGATGATGGAGGCAGTATGACCTCCGAAACATTGGTAAACATCGACCAGACTACACAGCGCAACAACCCAGAAGACAGAAATCTTCATACTTAGAATCGCCCTGATGACGGAGGCAGTATGACCTCTGAAACGTTGGTTAACATCGACCAGACTACACAACGCAATAACCCAGAAGACAGAAATCTTCATTCCTTCCTTCCTTCGTAGAAAAAAGATAGGCATATAGTACAGCTAAATCTCTGTTTACACAGCTAATTACATAAAATGTAACATTCTGCAGCAAGGTGCATTTTTTTATACAGAAGCTAAATTAAACCTTCATAATGGGAATTCAAAGGGC